CTGAATGGCCAACGCTTGTGTGTACTGCATGGGGCTGGCTCTGAGGGCAAGAAGGATTTAGGAGCCGGAGATGGGGAGGACAGACATGTAGGATGAGGAGCAACAGATGTAAGTGCTTGGAGGTGAGCATAGGAGGGACCAGAGCCATTCCCACTGGGCTGGACACACGTGGTGGGCACTGGGAGAGTGGGTGTTGAGGTAGGGTGGTGTCTTAGTTAGGGTTTCTATGCCTGGGAAGAGACACTATGACCACAGCAGGAAAACATTTAGTTGGGGCTGGCTTACAGTTCAGAGGTTAATCTATTGTTATGGAAGGGGACCATGGCGGCCATGCGGGCAGACATGGTGCTGGAGAGGTAGCTGAGAATTCTACATCTGGATTGGCAGGCAGTAGGAAGAGCGAGTGAGCCACTGGGCCTGGCTTGAGCTTCTGAAGCCTCAAAGCTCACTGGGAGTGACACACTTCCTCCAACAAGGCCACACCTACTCCGACAAGGCCACATTGAATAGTGTGACTCCCTATGGGCCTATGGGGGCCATTTTCATTCAAACCACCACAGGAGGGCACAGGCCTTGCAGCTGAGTGCCATTGGAAAAGGGGTGATTTGGTTGGTGGTGGGATGGGGAGGGTGGACACAGTGAAGGCCAGCTTACAGTATCTGGAAAACCATGTGTCTAGGAGACTGGAGCTGAGTCTTAGCTCTCTCTCATGCTTTGTCTACTCATGACCACTTGGCTCAACCTCCCCTTTCTTGTCTTTTCCAAATACCAGAGACCCAGTTTGGGTTTACAACAGAAAACCATATTGCATTCATTCTATCTTTTCAGTGCCCTGATACAAGTAGCTTCAGGAAGGAAGCTATTTTTATTATTATTTTATTATTACTAAAGCTATTATTTATTATTATTTTGGCTCACTGTTTCAATGGTTTTAATCCCATAGTGTGAGAAGGGGGCAGCAGAGTAGAACTGCTCACACCAGGCCACCAGGAAGCAGAGGTGTTGACTGCCTGTCCTGGCTTCCTCCCTCTTCCCTACCCACCAGGACCCCAGCCTGTCTCCACCCTGTCCCACTCCCGGCAGCATTGGGGTTACAAGCATATGCTGCTGTACCTGATTTTTTAATGCGGGCAACTATGGATCATGCCTCCATGGCAAGCTCTTACCCATGGAGCCATCTGCCCAGCCCCTGGGAACACTCACCCTGCTAGTGGGTGAACAGTTGGTCCTCGAGGCAGAAATTGGGATGGGGTGGAAAGTGCTTCTCAGATCCCATAGCTAAGGGAATGGGGGCCTGGCTTCTCTGAGCCCAGGAAACCAGGTCATGGCATATGACTCCACCCTTCTCTGGTGGTCTCATCTGTAGAGTATCTTGTCTTGTTCTTCGGCTCAGCTATAAGTTGCCTGGATTCAGCTTTGGCTTCACATCTGGTTTCAGTCTGGTTCTTGCTCATCAGAGACTGACTGTACCTCTGTGTCTGCTGGTCACATGGGCTGATCAGGATCTGTGGGATAAGCGGTCAATTTCCTGTCACCCTTGTTTGGTTCTTTCTACCTGGTGTTCACTTTGTGAGCCATTGGCTCTATGTTCACAGCAAACCCCTGAGCTGAGTTCTTTGAGCCAGCAGAAATCCTTTGTGTATGCACGTGTGTATGTACATGTGTGTCTGTGTGTGCTTGTGTGTATACATGTATGTGTGTATTCGTGTGTGTGTGTGTGTGTGTGTGTGTGTGTGTATGTGTGTATTCGTGTGTGTGTGTGTGTGTGTGTGTGTGTGTGTGTGTGTGTGTGTGTGTATGCATTTGGATGCCAGAAGTTGACATCAGGTGTCTTCAGTTCCTCACCACCTGAGACAGGGTCTCTCACTGACCCTGTAGTTCACAAAGGCTAGACTGTTTAGTCAGTGAGCTGCCAGGGATTTTTGTTTGTTTGTTTGTTTGTTTATTGTCTCTGCCTTCCCAGCACTGGGGTTACCAGCCCAAGGCACGATGCCTGGATCTTTTTACATAAGTGCTGGGGATTGAACTCAGGTCAGATGGTTTGTGTAACATGTGCTCTGTCCTCTGAGCCATCTCCCCAGCCCTAGAAACTCTTCTTGAAGTCTTGCATTTCCTCACCTTGTGTAGTCCTGGCTGCTTCTTGGAACTGGCTTTTCAGGCTGGACCAGTGTCTTACTTACAATGGAAGGACCATGCATTCAGTGGGTTAGCTGCCCTGGCTTTCAGGGACTTCCTCTCCTGGACACAGTGCCAGGGAGTGCCGTGGGGGGTGCTACCCGGGGCCGGGCTCTCTGGGTGAATCTTACACGTTGTCTCATTATTTCACACTGATAGCGGCCTGTTGAGCAGCATCAGTTTTTACTTCATTTGACCTGTAAAAGTAGGAGTTTAGAGGGACTCAACAGCACCCCAAGGTCATGTGCAGAGTTGGGATTCACTCTCAGGTCTGCCTGACTCCAGAGGCTCCTGGCAGTCTCCACCCCACTGCGTTGCAGCCCCTGAGGATGTCTTTATAAAACGCAAAGAGCCCTTCATGGTGAGTCGTGAAGCCCCCTCCTTCCATTTGTCTCTTGGATATTTCAGATGCACACCAACATGCTGGAAGCCCCGAGAGGTCTTACTGGGAATAAACCTACTTATTTTTGTTTACATCAGAATTGTACAGACTCCTTTTTTTTTTTAATTAAGAGTTTTTCTATTCATTTTACATACCAACCACAGATTCCCCTGTCCTCCCTCCTCCCACCCTGTCCTTCCCAGTCCCCCCTCCAACCCACCCTCCATTCTCACCTCCTCCAAGGTCAGGTCTCCCATGGGGAGTCAGCAGAGCCTGATACATTCAGTTGAGGCAGGTCCAGTCCCCTCCTCCCTGCACCAAGGCTGCTCACAGAGTGTCTCACCATAGGCACTAGGCTCCAAAAAGCCGGCTCATGCACTAGGGACAGGTCCCGAACCCAGTGCCTGGGGGCCTCCTAAATAGTTAAGCTAAACAACTGTCTCGCTTATCCAGAGGGCCTAGCCCAGTACCATGGTGGCTCCTCAGCTATTGGTCCACAGTTCATGCGTTTCTACTAGTCTGGCTTCTTATTTTTGTTTACATCAGAATTGCACAGATTCCTTTAAACACAGATCTCCTCCTCTCTTTATCTAATTTGTGTGTGTGTGTGTGTTTATGAGAGCCTGCACGTGTATATATGTGTTCACATGTACATGCATATGTGTGCAATTACTTGTATGTGCATACACATGTGTGTAAGTGTTCATATATGCAAGTATGTGCACATGCGTATCCACATATTTGCAGTCTCGTGTGGAGTCCAGAGGTTTTTGGGATGTCTTCCTCAGTGGCTTCTTATCTTGTGAGACAGGGTTTCTCTGGACTCAGAACTGCCAGATTCAGCTAGACTGGCTGTCTAGCAAGCCCCCAGGACACATCTGCTTCTGCTTTTCATGTTGTTGGGGTTAAAGGTGTCTGCCACTGTGCCCAGCTTTTTACTTGGGTGCTGGGGATCTGAACTCAGGTCCTCAAGCTTGCACAGGGAACACTTTGCTTACTCAGCCATCTTGAACAATTACTGTACTTACCACGATGACTGAGTCCTCTTTTGTCTCTTTGAACCTCAGCTTCTCCAGCTGTGAGGTTAAGGGCGTGGTGCATCTGACCACATGATAACCTAGTAACTGACCAATTCTCCAGCTGTGAAGTTAAGGGCATGGGGCATCTGACCACATGATAACCTAGTAACTGACCAGTTCTCCATCTGTGAGGTTAAGGGCATGGGGCATCTGACCACATGATAACCTAGTAACTGACTAGTTCTCCAGCTGTGAGCGACCAGAACTCAGAATCAAACACAGGAGGCAGTTCTCTGTTAATCTGGACGCTCTTAAGAACTGGGGCTGCTGAGAGAGTGGCAAAGTAGGAAGCTACGCTGTGGCCTTGAGTTCCTACCCAGAGGCGGCTTCCAAACCTTGGCATGGAAAGCTGAAGGGGCAGTCTCTCTGATCTGCCTGGGGTCTGGGGAGGTGGCCTGGGTATCTTGCATTCATCTCTGTGACTCACTAAGGAGGAACATAGGCCAGCCCTGGAGAATGCCTCTAGGGGATCATTTTGCCTGAGACCTGGAGGCTAGGTATGAGTTCTCCAGGCATAAAGGATGGGGAGGAAGGGTATTGGGGCAGGGGGAACAGTATGTGGAAGGCCCAGGGAAGGGAAGACCAGGCACCCACCAGCGATCCCTTCACAGTCCAGGCCAGATCAGACCAGTGGAAATGTGAGGAACAGACCTCCCGTCAGTCATGCAGCCTTTCCTGAAAGCAGACAGGAGACAGATAGTGAGTGAGGGCTTGGGTAGGAGAGACTGTGGCTGCTTTCCCCAGGCTCAGACCCGATCCCTGGAACCAGGGTGGGATGTCCAGGGGATGCTGATTCTAAGAACTGGAGAGGGGGTGTGTCTGTCTGGCAGGGTCTGGGGTCCGTGGGGCCCCCTCGTCTGGGCCACTGTACTGGCTCACAATGGAACTGCTGGCACAGGAGAAACTCTCTATTCAGGTGCCTGGCTTTGTCGGTGGAGGGGGCGGCTGCGCAAGCTAATTTTGCTCGGCTCGTCTTTGAATGGGGGTAATTGCTGGGAGTTGCCAACGTTCCAGATTGTTCCCTGGAAGAGGAGGGCAGGTCCAGGGCTCTGCTAATGCTGCCTGTGCAGGTTGAGCAGTGAAACCTGGCAGGGTGGTGTGAAGGTGTCACGGGATCACAGGGTGGTTGATACAGCCGTGAGGACCCTTCAGGGGTCACTTCAGATGACCTGCTTATTTTGTAGATGGGAAACCAGAGAGACAGAAGGGAAGGGCTTGCAGGAGCTCGGACGGGGGTAACCTCGCTAAGCTTGACTACATGTGGGCTGTGCGCCCTGCCTCCACTCTGCCTGGGTCCATCTAGAGGATTCCAGGCTGGGCATGCATATATATATGAGAGCCCTTTCCCCTTCCTCTGGCTATAGGAGACCAGCGAAGCAGCGGGGTCACCGAGGCCAGCAGCCTCCTGGGGGGCTCCCCTCGGCGCCCGTGTGGCCGGAAGGGATCCCCGTATCACACAGGACAGTTGCACCCCGCAGTACGGGTGGCCGACCTCCTGCAGCACATCAACCAGATGAAGACCGCGGAGGGCTATGGCTTCAAGCAGGAATATGAGGTGGGCCCGGCCCGGTCTCCGCACTGTGGAGCCTCACTTGGCGGCTCTCCGTCCACAGTCCTCCCACAGTCCTTCCTCCCACAGTCCCCAACTCAGCCTCACACTTTGACCTTGCCTCCGAGCATTCCTTCAAGCCCAGACAATCTGGTTTCTCGCTGTCCCGTCTCATCTCCACCCTGATCCTGAGTCTTCTCCTGTCTCTGGCTGGAGACACATCGTTGCTGACCTTGACCTGACTCTAGTCTGACATTGACCCCTGACCCTCATCTTAAGCTCCTTCTGATTGGATTCCAGCCACCCTCATCTGAACACCAGTACTACCCCCACTTATGCTTAATCTCACTCTTTTTTTTTTTTTTTTTTTTTTGGTTTTTCGAGACAGGGTTTCTCTGTGTAGCTTTGCGCCTTTTCCTGGAACTCACTTGGTAGTCCAGGCTGGCCTCGAACTCACAGAGATCCGCCTGCCTCTGCCTCCCGAGTGCTGGGATTAAAGGCGTGAGCCACCACCGCCCGGCAATCTCACTCTTTTTTAAAAAAAGTTTTTATTTTTTATTTTTTATTTTATGTGCATTGGTGTTTTGCCTGCATGTACGTCTGTGTGAGGGTGTCGGATTTTGGAGTTTCAGACAGTCGTGAGCTCCCATGTGGGTGCTGGGAATTGAACCCCGGACCCTCTGGAAGAGCAGTCAGTGCTCTTAACTGCTGAGCCATCTCTCCAGCCCCACCCCACTCTTACTCTTTATCATTTAACCTCCCCTCTCTTCCCGGGTCGAACCCAGGGTCCCGTGAACTCTGACCTCCCTTTGACTCAGCTTCCCTTCCAGACACACTCGCGTGTTTTGAACCTGTCCCTTACCTGCCCAGCCCCACCCGGCCTTTGTCATTCCCCGTGTGGGGAGGGGTCCTCAGAGTCTTGGGGTCTCTCTCCCCCACTGACTACCGTTTTCCCATTGGCAGAGTTTCTTTGAAGGCTGGGATGCCACCAAAAAGAGAGACAAGCTCAAGGGCAGCCGGCAGGAGACAGTGTCAGCCTGTGAGTCCAGGGAAGGGGTTGGGGCTCACAATGCCAGGAGGAAGCGAGGAAGGAGGAGAGTGGGCAGAGCATGCTCTGGGGAGTCTGGTCCTCGGACATGTAAGGGCTCTGGCCTCTGGATATGAGGGCACAGTGTCTCACCATTGCCTCTGTCACTGCCTGGTGACAGTGGAGGCAGGATACTCCTATCTTAGAGATGAGGAGACAGAGGTTTGCGGAGTTGAGACCTTGCCTCAAGGTCGCACAGCTAATTGCCGCTCATCTTCCTTAACTCCATACCCAGACTCAGACCCTTGGCCCAGCCTCGTGGTGCCAAAGCTTCCTGGTCAGCTCTGAGCCCTTGTAAAGGTCACCTGGTGGCCCTGCCTGGACACTTCCCCTAGCCTCCAGGAGACCTTTCCCACCTCCCAAGCCCCAGGCTCCCTGACACAGCCCTGCTCTGCCACTCTGTTCGCAGATGACCGTCACCGAGTGAAACTGCACCCAATGTTGGGAGACCCGGATGCCGACTACATCTCCGCCAACTACATAGACGTGAGTGCCTGGCCTGGCTCTTTCTGCTTACCTGTCCCTGTCCCGTCCAGGCTCGCTGTCCATGCAGGGCAGAAACCTACCAGAGAATAAATGGGGGTCTGAATGGTTGGGTTGCATTTGGTGTCCGGGAACTCAGAGATGGGGAGCTGAGAACAGGTGGAGGCCTTCAGGAAAGCATCCTGAGGGCTGTGCTGGCCCATGGGGAGGTAGAACAAGGTCTGGGGGGCAGACAGGGAGGCTGAAGGAAGGAAGGAGCTGTCTCAGCAAGGGGCCAAGAGCTTGGAGGTGGGAGTCTCAAGATTTCCAGAGTGAAGCTCAAGAGGTTATGCAGGGCTAGATGGTAAAGGCCTTGCGTGGCAGGCTAAGGCCTTGGGCTGTCTCCCAGGACCGTCAGGAAGTTGATCAAGCATTTTGACTTTGGTTACGGTGCTTCACATAGAGGGAGGCGGGTTTACTGAGCACACACTGTGTGACAGGGGAGGAAGCTGGAGCTCAGAGAGGTAAAGCCACTGGTTCTAGGACACACAGCTAGAATGGGAAAGAAAGGACTCAGCGAGTGAGGCTGTCTCTGCAGCCTCTGATGCTGACCATTCGACTGTCCTAACAACTACTGGATCTGGCTGGACGGGAGGGAGGAAGGGAGGGACCGAGAGAGGGTAGACTTCCCAGGTGTGGATGGGGGGTGGTGGTGATGGGACCTGGGCAAGGCCCAGGGACTTGACTGCACTCCATGCAGCAAGCTGAGATTGAAAGAGCAGCCTTTAATTGTGTAGGAAATGTATTTTGAGCACCTGAAACCAGAGCTAGAGATGAGATCATGTGACCATTGCTTTTTCTTTCTTTTTTTATGATACAGAGATTCTAGTGGGGGGAAAGAGATTAACATCGAAGGAAATTCATTTCAGATTAGCTGGGAAAGCATAGGCGGGAAGAAAGGGGTCACAGAGCCAGTTAGTGGCAGAGCCAGGGCTGGCTGTGTAGACCGTGTGGAGGAAGCAGTGTGGCCGCGGAGGAAGGGGAGGGGCACACAGATACGGCAAGGTGAAGGAAAGGCCCAGGAGGAAGCCACAGTGTGCCTGGGCTGAGGTCATCAGGACCGCCACAGATGACTCTCCCCTCCCTCTTCCGTCTTCCTCCTGGAGCTGAATGTGCCACCCTTGTTTCCCAGAACCCCTTGCCTTCTCCCTGCCTCCCATCCTGTTCCTTGCTTTGGGTAAGAGCCAAGCCTGGCCTCACAGGCTTGGGCAGCTTGGAGACAGTGGACCTTTCTCACTGGGTTCCACCTGGTTGGTTTCTCTTGGGCTCTGACAGGGACATGCCCATCCCTCTCTCCACCCAAGTCCTGGACTCCTGTCTCTGTTCTGCCTGCCAGCTCATGTCACCCTTTCTGGCCTCTCCTGTGCCCCGTCCACCTCCATCCACCTCTGGCCTAACATCTGTCTCTTTTGCTTTGTTCTGTTCCCTCACTGGAATCATTAAGATTCGGATAAACCGGCAAGTAAGTATCTCTTCCCTCTCCTCCTCCTCCTCCTCCTCTTCCTCCTGTCTGGTGGACTGGCAGTGTCCTGGGCTCTCTCACAGGCTCTGGCTGGCTGTCTCTCTCTTTCTCTCTCTCCCTCCTTCCCCTCTCCTGGCACTGAACACCAGCCACCCATTCCAGCAGCCTGCCAGGGGCTGCCACGGCTGAAGACTGTCTCCCCACTGGGAGACATTCCTTCCCACCTTCTGCTCTCTCCACAAGGACAGCTATGCTGGGGTGCTGGTCACTGCTGGCACCTCCGCACCCCCTGTCTAGCCATTTCCAGTGAGCTTCACCAGCTCTGCCCTTCTGCAGAGCTTCTGGTGTGTGTAGCGGGGGAGCTGCCCTGAGAAGCCTTGTCTCCACCACCAAGAGGCCAAGGACTCACAGGCCTGGGCCAGTCCTCCTTAATTCATCTCCTTGGTGTTCAAATTCCACTGTGGTCAGTTTGCTTAAAGTTCAACTCCCATCAGCTTGCCCCCCTCCCCCCATTTAGCCTCAATTCAAATGTGCTTTTTTTTTTTTTAAATCAGTTTGAATATCAGTTTAAAAATCATAACATCTTTTGCTCTTTTGAGAATTAAAACAAGGGCCGAGAACAGCTCAGGTAGTGGAATGCTGGCCAAGCATGCAAGAAGCCCTGGGTTTGAGACCCGGCATCATGTGAAAACTGGGTGTGGTGGCCCTCGGGAGGCAGAGGCAGGTGGATCTCTGAGTTGGAGGCCAGCTTGGTCTACAGAGTGAGTTCCAGGACAGCCAGGGTTGTGTAGAAAGACCTGGTCTTAAAAACAGACAAGACAAAAAACAAAGAAATTCAAGGTCCTCCTCAGCTACATAGTAAGTTGGAGGCTAACTTGTCTCAAAATAAGTGAAAGAAAGAAAAAACAAAACAAAACAAAACAACCCAAACTAATGTAGCCATCCTTTCATTTGATTTTTAAAACATGTTATTTTCATAGTATTTATAATCATTATTATTATTTTGGCTTTTCAAGATGGGGTTCTCACTCTGTATCTAGGCTGGCTTGGAACTTACTATGTAGCTGAGGACAGACTCAAATTCACAGGAGTCTTTTGCCTCAGCCTCCTGAATGCGAGGATTGTATTTCATACTATTTAATGACTGGTATCCTTTGCTATTTTGTGGGTACATTTTCCATTTTATCTTCTTAAAAAAAGATATTTCATTTTTTTATTATCGTGGCTAGGATTCTGTTCATTATCAGCTTCCGGACAACATAGCGAGACTAACATAAGACGTGAGAGGTTCCCCCAGTCACATTTGGCAGAGACAGCCAATTATCCCAGCCGTGCCCCTTATTTTGAGAGCAGTCACACAGTTGGTTTGTAAAATTCTCAAATATAAAAGGCCCATTAGGCTCACAAAAGACAGCGGATGTGCTGAGTCCTAGCGCCCCCTGTGGGTTGTGATGAATATTGGTCCTTACTGGCTTTAGACTTGCTGGTTCCCTGTGGGTGACCCACTTGCCTTTGAATCTCACCCATTTGGTTCCCTTTTGTCAAGACTCTTAAGAAATACCCTTAGAAGTCTCACTAGGCTTAATGCCACCTCAAATGCCAGTGAACAATCATGTTGCTGACGGCACCTGCCAGGTACCAGACCTAGAATGCAAAGGATCATTGGACAGGTGAGAATGTTGAATCTGAGAAAGATAAAATGACTTGTGTAAGGCCAGAAGCCAGCGTTATCATCCCACTATCCCCCGGCACCACCCGTTCAGACTCCAGCTAGGTGCAGATGTGTGATCTCAGCACCGGCTTGGGGCCTGAGGTCCAGACCTCTCCAGAACCACTCCCTAAAGTGAAAGTGTACAAGGCGATCTGCTCACCTTACTTCAAGATATGATCATTTAAAACTTGTGTTTGTGGGGGTTTGGGCATGGCCAAGCTGGTAAATGCTCCCCTTGCGAGTGTGAGGACCCCAGTTCAATCCCCAGAACCCAGGTGGGGATTCACGTTTGTGATCCCAGCCCTGGGGAAGGAGAGCCAGCTGGATCTTTTGGGCTGGCCGGCCAGCTTAGCCTAATTGCAAGGTACCAGGCCAAAGAGAGACCCTGTCTCCAAGGAGGTGGACAGCTCTTCTGAGAATGGTACTTGAGGTTGTTGTTGCCTAGCTTCTACACACATGCACACATGTACCCTCCTTTCATGCCACCCCCTCCCTGCACATGTGTACACTCATACATATGAATATGCATACATACACACATAGGCATAGCAAAACCTCTTTGTGTTCTTTGTATAATATGATATATGTAACATAATATAATAAATATAATATGTAACATGTCTTATTTAAGAAGTGAGGCCTGTGAAATGGCTCAGCAGGTAAAAGCCTGCCGCTCAGCCTGATGACCAGAGTTCGAGCCCTGGGGTCCCGTGTGGGAGAAGGAGAGAACTGACTCCTGTAGGTTGTGGTCTGACCTCCAGGCATGTGCTGTGGCACTTGCCCATGTGCACTCTCCCCTATAATCACAGAATAAATAAAAATGTCATGGTGTTTTTAAAAAATGAACATGGAGAACTTTTGAGTTGTGTGCCTGTACACTTGCTTCAAATAGGGCTGCATGGACCTTGGAGAGATGCTCAGTGGTTAAGAGCACTGGCTGCTCTCCCAGAGGATCTGAGTTCAACTCCCAACAACCCACAGGCGGCTCACAACCAATTGTAATTCCAATTCTAGGGAATCTGATGCCCTCCTCTGGCCTCTGCTGTTCCTACACGCACATGGTGCACATAAATTCATGCAGGCACATATGCATAAATTATAAATAAATATTAAACCAAAACTAATAGGCCTGCATGACAAGGTAGGTTGGATGGCCCTGGGCCACACTTTCTCCAAAATGTCATTTTCCAACAATGAAAGAATAGGATCCTGGAAAGGGCTGGAAACAGTTGCTACAGGACTGAATTTTAGGTCATCTAATCACTGGGCAATCAATCAGGTTTCCTTCCTTTTTATGCTGGGGCTGGATCCCAGGGTCTCTCCCATGCCAGGCAAGCATTCAGTTGTATCCTCAAGCCCAATCAACCTGTTTAGTTGAGTCCAGGCCCTCTGTTATTTACTGACTAACACTTGAATGCTGGAATGGAGCTGGGCCCTGGAGTGGAAGGGTAGAGTTGACTGAATCTGATGATGATCCTGTGTTGGGGTGGAGCTTAGGCAAACTGGTTTTTCAGGTACAGAAGCACAAGCCCTTCAGGGTAGCCTGTTCCAAGCTTGACTACTTGGTAGGCGGAGTCAGCTAGGAACAGCCCTCCCCATCCTCCACCTCTGCTGTCCCACTGACCTGCTGCAGAGCCAAAGGCTTGGGGCGTGGAGAGACTGCTGTAGCGAGGGCAGCGTACTCCAGAGGTTTTTTCATAGTCACTTTGAAGGGGGGTCGGCTTTTCCCAAGGGAACTGTAGGCTGGCTGTCATCTTTCAGCTGCAGAGGGCAAGCTTGGAAAGGTCCAGCCTTGCTGGCTACTCCACTATCTGAGACTCTGCAGCGTGGGCACGGCTAAGGAACTGGTTGGAAATACATATTTCCAGATCCACCCCCATGCTCCGAGTCCAAGTTTGCCTTTGACGATATCCCAGGGTCTCTGTGCACCCAAAATGCCAAACTTCTGTTCTCTTGGTGAGGTGACAGAGATGAATTTTATAACATCCAATCACTGGGATCATTGTGGTAGTGTGTGTGTGTGCTGGGATAGAATCCAGAGTCTCCCACATGCTAGGCATATGCTCTACCCCTGAGCCTCATCCTCAGCCCGGTTGATCAGTTTTAATTGAGTTCCATTACTCCATTATTTATACTGACTAATAAGTGCTGGCACTTATTGGCAGCTGCTAACAGGGACCCAGGTCCGTTAGACCCCAGCGCTCTGGAGGTCACCTCCCATCCCAGCTGTATTTTTTTTCCCCTCTGCTTTTGCCTCCTGAGTGCTGGGATTGAAGGCACGTGCTACCACACCCAGCTGAGCAGCTCTTGAAGTCAACACGGCTTGGACCTTTGGAGACCTTTGAGACAGGACTAATAATAACTGCTCCTGTTGGCCCTGCTTTGTGCTTGGCCCGGTGACAAACGCTTAACCTACATTATTGTTTGTGTTCCCCACATCCCTGGGAGGGAAGTCTTGTCATGATCTACTTTATAGACGTGAAGACGGAGGCCTAGAGAAGGAAAGGGTGTCTGCCTGAAGGCAGTTGGCATTGACCCTGGCAGTGAACCACTAGAGCCCTTTGGGTTCCCGAAGTCTGGGGGTCCAGAGGAATTGCAAGGAGCCGTGGCGAGGGCCAGGGGCAGAGCTTGGTGGCTTTCTCGCTCCTGCCACCATTTTGCTCCGGAAATTTTACACAGACATCCTGGCTGGCTGTTGTCCCACAAAGATGCAGCCTTGTGAGGGACCTTGGGGCCACTGCATCTTTTGAAACTCAGCTCTTTGCTACTTGGCCTGAGGTCCCTAGGGATGGAGGACGAGGGAGCTCTTGGTTTCTCTTTCATGGAAGATAGATGGTAGTGTTCAGACAGTGTGGGGACCATCACCATGACTCTGGAAAGTTCCACATCATCAGTAAAAACAGATTTTAAAATTGTATCTAAGGGTCCTTTGCTTTCAACTTGAAGCCCTCTTTAAGATTTTTTTCCCCCCAAGCTCTGGGTAGCTGAGGTCCTTGGGAAGGGTATTCTCCATTCTGAATGCTGTGACCGAAACTGGGGATTCTGTCAACCACGGGTTCTCCACATCTGGAGTCCAGGGTGGATTATGTTTCTGGGACTCTGGGAACAGGGCAGCATCATCCTGGGCTTCCTTTGTCTCCAAACTGCAGCCGTGTTATTAAGAGATCACCCTCCTGCTTTGAGGATGGGGAGACTTGCTGGGCTCAGAGAGGAGCACCCTCCGTAGGGTTCCGCAGCAAGACCTTGGTGGCTTAACTTCCCTTGTCTCTGCTTTGGGACTGGGAGGACAAGGTCACCCTCATCCAGAAACATGAAGTTGGGAGTTTCTGGAGGGTGCTGCTCCTGGAAGGAGGGTGATGGGGGGCAGTGTGAGGGAACAGAGGTCGCCCCCTTGGCGTTCACCTCAGCCTCTTCTGTTGCAGGGATACCACAGGTCAAATCACTTCATAGCCACTCAAGGTACCTGGTCCCTCAGCCTGCGGTGCCCTCCCGTGATCTGGAATGCCTGCTGCCTGCCTGCCTCCCCTGCTGATCTGCTCAGCCCCCTGTCTGCCTCCCTGTCTGTCTGCCTCCCTGCCCCCACTACCTGCCTGGGGATCTCTTGCATCTAACGTCAGTCCTTATCTGTCTGTCTGTGCCTCCTGATAGGATCTGTCCCTCCCCAGTAACCTGGCTGTGTATGTCTCTGTGGTGACGCATGTGTAAGGGCTGGGGCTGTACTCACTGTCACGGAGCATGCATCTTGGTCCAACTGGCCACCTGGGTCCCCTCTAGTCTTCTTTCTTTTCTGCTGCCACCTCTCTGTCCACCTTTCTGGGAGGTTTGCCCCATGGACCAAGGGTCTACCAGCCACATGGCTCAGTAGGTCTTACTCAGCACACCAGGCTCTCCAGCCTGGCTCTGCCTTGCTACTACTGCCCACCCCAGGGCCCTGCAGGCATGGAGCTGTGGTTGGTGGGGTATATTGGGGTGAGTGAAAAGTCCCCACTGGGGTTGGGTCCTGGGAGCCTCCCAGCAAGGGATGGTGTCACGGGGCATCATGGTGTGTTGGCCGTCGGGGGAGGAGACCTTGCTCAGGGACAGGCATCCTCTGTGCCCCCAGGGCCGAAGCCTGAGATGATCTACGATTTCTGGCGCATGGTGTGGCAGGAACAGTGTGCAAGCATCGTCATGATCACCAAGCTGGTAGAGGTGGGCAGGGTAAGCGGGACTGGGGGATGGGCTGGGGGCAGGCTGGTCTCCATGGGTGCTAAGAGCACACTGAAGCCTGTGTTATGGGGGGGCGCAGGTAAAGTGTTCTCGCTACTGGCCTGAAGATTCAGACATGTATGGGGACATCAAGATCACGCTGGTAAAGACAGAGACTCTGGCTGAGTATGTGGTGCGCACCTTTGCCCTGGAGCGGGTGAGTCTCCCCTACAGCTCTTCCATGTAGAGCCTACAATGCCCAAGCCTAGGAAGCCTGGGGGAAGAAGCCAGGGAGCCCTTCTAACTTGCTGGGAGCATGGCCAAGGGATGGGATGATGGCTGTTCCCGCTAGACTCCAGCAGGCATCTGATATGAAGAGGATGTGATGACCGTTCTGTGTTGTTCCTTGCTGAGTGGGACCCTGTGCTGAGCCTCTTACACGCATTGCCTTAGCCCTAGGAGGATGAGAAAAGTGAGGGTCAGTGGGTTTCCTCATGCATCAGGGTCTAGGTTCCCACTTAGTTTTTCTGTAAAATCCTCAGAGGAGGCAAGATGTCAGGTAAAAGAGCTTGCCAGGCAAGCGTGACGACTCCTGAGTCACAGGGCTCTTCTGTTTACTCGGCATCCCAGGGACAAGGTGGGTGTGGGACAGCAGCGCTTTAAGCACCGGGTGGACTCAGTCCAAACACAGAGTGTGTGCCTGTTCAGCCTCGGCAGAGGGGATTGTCCGCACCGGGCCTTATTTCCCCACCTGTACAATGGATGTGGATACTTACCTTGCCCATGAGGAGTAAGCAGAGCTTGGCACACAGCAGGAGTCCAGTGGGTGCTGCTGGCAACTGACTGTCGCCCCTGTGGTTTCCACAGAGAGGCTACTCAACCCGGCACGAGGTCCGCCAGTTCCACTTCACAGCGTGGCCCGAGCATGGCGTCCCTTACCATGCCACGGGGCTGCTGGCCTTCATCCGGCGTGTGAAGGCTTCCACTCCACCGGATGCTGGGCCCATTGTCATCCACTGCAGGTGGGAGCCCTGGAGATTCCAGGGAGAGGGGCCAAGGCTGGGGGAGAGCTGGGCCGGAGTGGGGCAGGTTCAAGGTCAGCCTGCCTGGAGACAGAGGATAGGAGAGGATGACTCCGCAAGCACCCCACGGAGCCCCTTTACCAGAGCTGAGGAGTCCCAGAGCCTTCAAGCCTACAGCCCCTGTGGTTCATCCTGGCTCCTCCGCCGGAATTCTTACCCACTCACCAAATGCCACATGGCTGATGTCCCTTGCCCTACAGCCCCCTGGCTCGTCTCGGTCTTTCTCTTTCTTTCTGTCTCTTTCTCTTCCTCTCTCTTCAGAGGTCATTAAGATAGCACCTTCTAAAATGAATCCCAACTGATAGAGAAAGTCTGTCAAGGATAATTTATATCGCGGACAGTTGCCCACAACTGACGGTTCACTAACGGACTGTTCACTAACTGAGCCATGGGTGTTATCTTGTCAGATTGAGGAACAGAGTGTGGGGGTGAGAGATGGCTGACTGAAGTGTTTGCCACGTATGCAAGCTGGAGGACCTGAGTTTGATCCCCAGCTCCTACGTAAAAAGCTGGGTGTCGGGGCATGTGCTTATAATCCCAGCCTTGGGAGACCTGCCGCCCAGGTCTTCCAAAGCGCTTGTGTGATTTGAGCTGTACAATCCTCTGTAATGCTTTGATGATGTCGTCTTCTAAGCTGGGGCATCCCTTCCTGCTCTCACTGGGCTCCAGGTAGAGTTAGGCAGCTGGCCACATAAATAGGGACCATGTAGCAAGTGTTTTAACAGAAGCTAGCCATATTGCTCTGAGAGTTTGGAAGAGAGCCGTGTGTCTGGAAGTGTTAGAAGCTCCACTGGGGATGTGGATGGGTATGAGTGTGTGGGGTTTTGAAGGCTGTGCAGGAGCCTGCGATATCCAAGGGGAACATGTGTTCTTAGATTGAACCCCAAGCTTCACCTCCACCCCTCTCCCTGAGTCTTGGCTGCTAAGGTGGGCCAGCCTCACTTCCATGTTCTCTCATCCTTCTTTCTGTCCTTTCCTTCCCCAGGCCTTGCTCTATGCTCCCAACTGTGTCCTCTGCCAGGTCATATGGAACTCCAGCTCCACCTTCCTTGTTGGAGTGGCCCCAACCCCTAAGTTATATCGCTATAACCCCGGTCTCCCACGTCCTTTCTGCTCCCTGATCTCGAGTCCCGGCCCCTGATGTGGCGCTGGCTTTCTCTTACCCTCAGTGCAGGCACTGGCCGCACAGGCTGCTACATCGTCCTGGACGTGATGCTGGACATGGCGGAGTGTGAAGGCGTCGTGGACATTTACAACTGCGTGAAAACCCTCTGTTCCCGGCGGGTCAACATGATCCAGACTGAGGTTAGGACCAGCTTGTCCCCGACCTTTCCCCTCCATCTAGATCTCAGGGTCTCTATCATGGAGCTTAGAACTGGAGTAACGTGTCTTCAGGGCATCCTAGGCCCTTCCTTCCCCAGGCCCATCTCAAACATGGCAGTGGTGGTTGGGGGTGGGGAGTGGGGAGGGGGAGGGGAAGGGGGAGGGGGAGGGGGCTCGTAGTTCTTTCCAGACCTCTCACTTCACCGTGTTATGTCAGGTGAGTCGGATGGCAGCGAGCTCCAGAGTCACATGTACCAGGGTTAGTGTCCTCACTGGGATCTGGGACTGTCCCTCCTCACTCCGATGATCTGCTGGACTCAGCTGAGCACCCCTGCTTCAGCCATGGCCTTGGTTCTTCTTCATTCTCCGTAGAGGTCAGCTTCCAGTCCCCTCCTCATTCTTACATTCTCATCTCTTGTTCCAGGAACAGTACATCTTCATCCATGATGCAATCCTGGAGGCCTGCCTGTGTGGGGAGACCACCATCCCTGTCAATGAGTTCAAGGCCACCTACAGGGAGATGATCCGAATTGACCCTCAGAGTAATTCTTCCCAGCTTCGGGAAGAATTCCAGGTAGGGGAATGTGTGTATAGATGTGGGGTGTGTGAGTGTATGCATATGTGTTGGGTGTAGGGTGTATGTGTCAAGTTGGGTATGTGTATACAGGGCATGGACACATACATACATACATATACATATACATGTGAATGAGTGGGGTGAATGTGTATAGAAGAGTTAGGTATGCGTGTGTGTTTGGGTGTGTGTGTGTGGGTTCGTGCAGGGTGTGTGAATGTGTATATGTATAGATGTGTGATATGTGAGTATGTATGTGTGTTTGTGTATAGGTGTGGGGTGTATGAGTGTGTATATAGGAGTGGGGTATGTGTGTGTAGGAGTGGGGTGTTTATAGGTGTGGGGTATGTGAGTGTGTATATCAGAGTGGGGTGTGTGTGCATAGAAGTGGGGTGTATATAGGTGTGGGGTGTTTATAGGTGTGGGGTATGTGAGTGTGTGTGTGTGTAGTGTGGTGTGTGTGAGTGTGCACTGGGAGGTCCTCAGGACTACAGCTGTCAAGGGCCAGTCAGGAAGGACTGACCTGAGACCCAGCTGAAGGGACAGAGTCGGGTGACTGGAAAGGACTCTGAGACAGTGAAGCATGCGTTAGAGCAGTTGTGACCCCAGGCTTTTGGGGTCAGATAAATGTGGGTTCAGATCCTGGCTTGCCTGGAGCAGCTGTGAGGAGCCTGGACAAGTCCGCTCACCTCTCCAAGCTCTCGTTTTGGCAGCCAGGAAAGAAAGGAAGTCCCCATCGCCCTGCAGGTGTGCAGCCGTCAGGAGTCTCCTGGTGTCCTGAGGGAACTAGCGCAGGGGCTGCAGCCACTGCCAGGTGTGAAGGCGCCATCAGTTACAGCTGGATCCAGGGACACAAATGATGATGCCACACTTGGTCTCTGCCCATTCTCGGTTCGGCTGTTTTTGTTGGCTGGTTTGTTTTGTTCCTGAGACAGTGTCTTATGTAGCCCAGCCTGGTCCTGAACTTGTGGTGTAGACAGGGATGACCTTGAGTTCCTGATACGTCTTCTGCCTTTACTTCCCTGGTGCTGTAATTATAGTTGTGCACCGAGGGGGCAGTGGCTGAGGACAAGTGCTGTTCCTCAGGTACTGTCTGCCTTCTTTTTTGTGACAAGGTCTTTCAAGGGTCTGTAACTTGCCAAGTAACCCAGGCTGGCCAGCCAGTGAGTCCTGGGGGGTCTCGGGGGCCTGCCTGTCTCCTTCTTCCCTTACTGGGGTGACAAGTTTGGGCCACCATGTTTAGCTTTCTTTTTATATTTTTAAATGTGGTCTGGGATTGAACTGGGATCCTTTTGCTAGACCCAGGCACTGGTGGTCTGTTTTGGGCGGGGTGAGGTTCACCATGCTGCAGGCTGCTCTCTAGAGGAATCTGCTGATGTCTGGGTGCCAGAGACCCAGGGGTTCCCTCCACTCGGCATTCCTATGTTCCCTTAGCCACGTGGCACCTGCCAGTTGGGGTGTTCTGGAGCCAGTGTAGGGTAACCTGGGAAATGTGGCTGGTGATTCCTGGAGAAGGGTATCAGCTTTGGGGATGACAGACTCGGGATCCTGGGAGGAATCCCCAAGAATAAGACAGAAACTGAGACTCTAGTACATGAAGCCTGAAGGTGTAGAGATGTCATAGCCCTGGGTAGGACCTGTGCCAGGTGCTCAGGATTACATTCTGTCTAGACAGAGCTGTGACCAAGGCTTCTGCCTCATGTCTGGGGTCAGCTCTAGGGAAGAGGTGGGGTTCAGGCTTGACAAGCTAATGCTGATCCTCTCTGGGCTTGCTACACACCGAGCCCTGGGTCCATCAGGCTCTGCTCAGTGCCTGGCATGATCTCATTTTCGAGATCTCTTGATCTCCAGATGCTCTGTGAAAAAGGTGTATCACATTCCTCAAAATAAGTCACCTATCCAAGGCCACACTGGCTCAGGGTGACAGTCGTCTCAAAGCTCAGTCTAGGCCCTCCGTGGCCTGATGATAGGCAGTTTGGCTCCCTAACTTCTTTCTCTCTGGGCCTCAGTTTCTCCGTTCACAACACAGAGTTAATTATCTACCCTGAAGTCCTTTGCGGAGTTGTGAGGAGGCCCCGAGAGCCCTGGCTAGGCTGTGTCCTCACTTCCCTCTCTGCAGACGCTGAACTCGGTCACGCCGCCGCTGGACGTGGAGGAGTGCAGCATCGCTCTGCTGCCCAGGAACAGAGACAAGAACCGCAGCATGGATGTGCTGCCCCCGGACCGCTGCCTGCCCTTCCTTATCTCCACTGACGGAGACCCCAACAACTACATCAACGCAGCCCTGACTGACGTGAGAGCTTGAGCTCCCCATCCTGGGAGGGCCAGGAGTCAATGGAGCAGAGTCTAGAGGGACATCCCCTCCACAATGCCCATTCCATGAGGCAGGCCCATGGGAGACCCTCTTACCCCCTTCTGGTATTATAGTCATCTTTAGTGCGGATCTGCGTGGTGGAGTCAGGCAGGGTCGTCTCCAGGATCAGCCCCAGCGACGTCTGGGGTAGGGTGACTTGGACTGGGGATCCCTGAGGATTTGGGGTCAGGACTTGATAACCTGATATTTAGAGCTAGAGGAGTCTCTTCTGAGGTGATGGGTCTGTACCCAGCTCCAGGACCTGCCCTGGGGTAGTGATTTGACCCCTGGTCCTTATCTAATTGTGATCTGAGGGTATAGGAACCATTTAGCAGATTCACCCCTTGTCCCTGGTCCAAGGGACTTCACCCTCTTTACTGGGCATTGCAAACAGAACAGGACATGGGTGCTGTGACTTGGGGGACTGAGGATGACACCCCCTGAGAAGGAAGAGTCTAGGAGTATCACTCCTGTCCCTCTCCCCTCTTAAAGCCAGTTGAGAGAGAAGTACAGGAGGCAGACAGATGAGAACAAATGTTTTAGAGAAGGGGGAGAACGTGGCTTTACCTCCATAGCCACATAAGCTGTGTGTGTCTTGGGCCCTCTGCGAGGCTAACTTGCCCTCCTAGACACATCAGGGACAGACCGTCATGGGGGATGAGGAGCAAGGCACTGAAAACAGGTATTGATAAGAGAAAGAGTCGAACTCAGTGAATGACAGGGGAGGAAGAAGTGAGAGGAGCCAGGCCAGGCCCAGCACAACTGAAGACCTCCACCTAGGGTGGAGAGAGGCCCCCCAAGTTGTTCCGAGGGAGGTAGGTTTTTTGTGGCCTGGTTCATGGCTCTGAACCTCCACAGCAGGACAGACAGCACAAGGTGCGGTGGATCTTCTCCAGCGAGGGGGACTCCTGGTGGTGCCTGTGGGCTTCTTGGTGTGAGCTGAAGCCCTGTCCCTGCAGTGAGTCACATGGGAGAGGCTCCCGGTCACCGTCACTTAGCCCATCCATGTGTGTGCATGTACACGTGCCCACTGGCTCACTTAAGTGAGGTCTGCCGAAGGACCCCAGGGAGCATCATAGTTTAGAAGGGAAGCTTAGAGTTTCATGACCTCCCTTCTATCCCCGACTTCACCTCGGTGTGCTATCTACATCCTGGGGGCTGGAGAGACGGCTCTGGGGTGTCCAGTTAGGGAAGGTCCTGGGTGGGGATGGGCTGCTGGGGGAAGAAGCTGCAGGGCAGCCTTGGCCCCTCAGGCCTCGGATACCTGATTCCAGCCTTGTGTCGTGGGCCTGGCATCCAAGAGGACTGATTCTTAGATGCCAGTGGTTTGGTCTGCGGGAAGGGGTCGGCTGGAGTCTGTTTGGGGTGGTCCAGTCTGCAGGGAAGCCTTTGGTCACCCATGTCTGAGTGTTAGCTTATTGGAGGTTCTGGTCAGAGCCATCAGAGGGGCCCACTGAGTGCCGTTTCCCCCCTGCAGAGCTACACACGGAGTGCAGCCTTCATCGTGACCCTGCACCCCCTGCAGAGTACCACACCGGACTTCTGGCGGCTGGTCTACGACTACGGGTGTACCTCCATTGTCATGCTCAATCAGCTCAACCAGTCCAACTCCGCCTGGGTGAGCCTGGCCAGGGCCTCAGGGCATTTACAGCCACTGTCCCAAAGTCAAGAGCAGGAGTCCAGCTCTGATGTCAGTTTGTTCTGTGGTGTTAGAAGAGTCACATCCCCTGCCCCGCCCCCCACGACCTTGGTTTCCTAATCTATAAACAAGCCTTTCAGATGGACCCAACTCGCTCCTTTTTTTTTTTTGTGAGCATCTGCTGTAAGCTAAGGACCGTTGTGCACACTTGGTCTCATTTACAGTTGACAGTGGCCACTGGATAGAGAGAGGCTTCAGAGGGGGAAAAGAATTAAGACCCCCAGAGAGGAGGTGCTTTCTCCAAAGTTTGGGGTGGGTGCGGTTATCCCTGCTTCTTCTCAGAGGCAGGAAGGTGAGATGATGCAGGAGTCCATGTGTGTGGGATATGGTTTGCATGTTAGAGTGGAGGTTTCCATCCACATAGCCGTGGGGATCATGGCACTCTGTGAAGTTTGCCGTGACCACTCTGAATGTGCCAATGTATTGGGCAGTTTCCTTGTGTTCTGATAGGTGAGTGGTGGGGAGATAGGTGTGCCGCTGGGGAATCTGGAGCCAGGCCCTGAGCCATGGCGGAATCCCCAGAGCTGGCATTGGGGTGGGGCGTAGCTGGAGAGTTTCTCTCCGGGTCCCGCCAAGCCCCAGCAGTCCCGGAGCCCACTTATAAAATAAACACACAGACACTTATATTATTTAAACTGTTTGGCCTAATGGCTCAGGCATCTAACTATCTAGTTCTTACATCTTAAATTAACCCATTTCTATAAATCTATACCTTGCCACATGGCTCATGGCTTACCAGTATCTTACATGTTGGTACTCATGGCGGCGGTAGCTGGCAGCGTCTCCCTGCCTCAGCCTTCCACTTCCCAGAATTCTCCTCTCTCCTTGTCCCGCCTATACTTCCTGCCTGGCTACTGGCCAATCAGTGTTTTATTTATTAACCAATCAGAGCAACACATTTAAGATACAGAACATCCCACAGCCATGGGGGACTGGCTCTGTTCTACTCAGCTTTCTCTCTGTGCCCCAGCCCTGCCTGCAGTACTGGCCGGAGCCCGGCCGGCAGCAGTATGGCCTCATGGAGGTGGAGTTTGTGTCTGGCACAGCAAATGAGGATTTGGTGGCCCGAGTGTTCCGGGTGCAGAACACTTCTCGGGTGAGTGTCCTGAGGAACCCAAGGGTGAGAATCTGGGTGGTGGCCAGGGCTGCCTTGGGTGAGCCTCTCAAGGTCATCAAGGGCTCGTTCACCTCACGTTTCTCTGCCTGGCTGCTGTGTCCCCAGCTGCAGGAGGGCCACCTGCTGGTGCGGCACTTCCAGTTCCTGCGCTGGTCTGCTTACCGGGACACGCCCGACTCCAGGAAGGCCTTCCTGCACCTGTTGGCTGAGGTGGACAAGTGGCAGTCGGAGAGTGGGGACGGGCGCACCGTGGTGCACTGTCTGTGAGTGCTCCCTGGGAGGAGGGGGGGTGAGTCCCTCAAGGCGAGCACAGAGGAGTCCAGCCTCCAGGGGCTGTGGCCTGGTCTCTCCAACCAGCTGAGTTTGATGAGAATCTTGTCAGAATTCCTCACTCTGTGAGATTATAGCATACCTAAATTTGTTTTTCATTTGTATGTGCGTGTGTGCGTGCGTGCGTGCGTGCGTGCGTGCGTGCGTGTGTGTGTGTGTGTGTGTGATGTGTGGGTATGCACACGGCACAGCCCATGTCTGGAGGTCAGAGGACAACTTTGTGGAGTTGGTTCTCAGTCTCTGCCTTTACTTGGGCTCTGGGACTCAAACCCACGTCACCAGGCTTTTGTGTCAAGTGCCTTTACCCCCTGAGGCATCTTGCTGGCTCCAGGTAGCATGCTTTAAAACCTTTAAAAAAAAATCACACTTATTTAATGTGTGTGTGCGTATGCACATGTGCTCAGGTATGTGTTTATGTGTGACAGTGTGCATGGAGGCCAGAGGACAACTTGCTGGAGTCTGCTCTTTTTCCTCCACCGTGCGGGCCCTGGGGACTGAACTCAGGTCATCGGTCTTGGTGGCGAGCACCCTCCACCCTGAGCCACCTTGGCGGCTCCATGCAGCATGTGGGATTCTCGTCTGTGTTTCTGCATGCACTCCTGCAGCACTCTCTTTCTGCAGTTTATATCCCACTCGTTCATTCATTTATATGCACCTCTGCTCAGAAATACATGTTTTCTCCCATGTCTGGGCACAGTCACCTCTTTTTCATGCTTCTCTCACTTTCGGAGCCTCCCAGAGCCAGCTCGGGCCCTGTCCTCTGAGGACTTACTTACCTTTAGTTCTAGTGAGAGTCCTGCAGCGGGAGGCCAAGGGGTGGATAGTCTCCCATTTCCCAGGAGGCTCGTGTCGGGTCATGGGAAGAGGGGCAAGAGGAGGGGAGGATCCCTGGTGGCCGCAGGCTGGGCTCGCTCGGTGCCTGTGTTGGCTTGGGTATCCGCATTGTTGGTCTGGGTGGTCTTCCCATGTTGCTCTGGGGCTTGCTTGCCTCTGTGGCCTCCCTTTTCGGTCACTTTCTCTTGAAGTGTGGCTGGATCTTTTCTCTAGTCTACAGGCCAATCTTTTTTGAGGATATCTTCTGACACGATGTGCGGCTTTGGATAGCATTCTCAACCCTGAACTGTCTTTTCACCTTCTGGTCCTAGGGCTCCCTTCTGGGTCCCACTTCTCACCCCACAGCTCCCTAGCCCACCCTCCATGGCTCTCGAGTGTTTTCTTTACCTTTGACCTCTCCGACCTTGCCCCTGCCTTTTGATTGCCTTGCTCCCCCACCTCACCCTTCTTGGGTTCCCAGGTCCTGCCCCAAACCTTTCCTGTGTCTCCTTTAGAAATGGGGGTGGCCGTAGTGGCACCTTCTGCGCCTGTGCCACCGTCTTGGAGATGATCCGCTGTCACAGCCTGGTGGACGTTTTCTTTGCTGCCAAAACGCTTCGGAACTACAAGCCCAATATGGTGGAGACCATGGTGAGGAGCCATGTCCCAAGCACAGCCACTTCGGCTCCCCCTCCAAGCCCCAGCGGGTTCCCACGCACTCCTGTCTGGTCCCTAACTTTGAGCCTCTGTTCTAGTCCTGGGTTGTTAGACTATCATCCTCATGTCCCTTTCTCCAGAGGGTGGTCAGAGTTCAAGGTGCCCTCTTTCCCCAGGATCAATACCACTTCTGCTACGACGTGGCCCTGGAGTACCTGGAGGCTCTCGAGTTGAGATAGCAGGCGCCTGGCTGGGGGCACCCACTGAGCACCCAGGGCGTGGCCCATCATCCCAGACTGGTGAGGAGGGCCTGTGCCCCCGACTTTGCTCAGCCATAATTCCACAGGGAGAACACTGGAGTGGGCGCTGCACTATCTTGGTGGCCCCCATGGGCAGGCTGCAGGCTAAGGAGGAGCTTTGCAAGACTGTAGTCAGCCTCACCTCCGGAGGGCCCTGCAGGCCTGTGCAGAGAAGCCTGGGACAGTGACACCGGCCAGAACAACCAGTACCGGGGGGGACCTCAGGCCAGGCCCTTCCACTCCATTCCAGTCCTTGGCAAGAAATGAACGGGGGCCTGCAGAGGGGGTGTCCCAGGTTTGCACCCAGTGTGGCCCCTTCTGCTCAGGGTGGAGGCTCACTGGGGCTTGCCAGTGCGACACGCTGACCTTCCTGCAGCTCTGTTCTCCATCCCCACCGCCCCTGCAGACTCGGGGGTGCTCTGCTCACCGTGCTCCCCGCTTCTGCTTCTGAGATTCCTGCAACAGGACCTGTGCCTCCCTCCCGGGCTCCATCCCTGCCTGGCCCGGTATATGCAGAATATCACCTCAGCTCCCTCTTCCCTAGCCTTCGGGCCTCCGCGGCTCAGTCCTGCTCAGCTTGGGCCTGTGACAATCCACAAGGCTGAATCACAGCCCCCGGGGTTGAGGTCCCTGTGGCTCTTGGTGAGGCTGCCGCTGGGTTGAGGCAGGGTAGAGCAGGGCTGGTGACGGTTCCAGAGTTCAGAGGAAGAAGGGTGCTATGGGATGGAGGACCAGTACCTTTCCGTTGTTATTTCGTTCTTTTTTGATGGGAGGGTGGGAAGTTCTCTTTATAATGGGGTAGGCCACACCCCCATTTCGTGCCTCAATTTCCCCATCTGTAAACTGTAGATATGACTACTGACCTACCTCACAGGGGGCTGTGGGGAGGTGTAAGGTAATGTTTGTAAAGCGCTTTGTAAATAAACGTGCTCTCTGAATGCCAGTCAGTGGCTCTGTGTGTGACTTGCTCCCTTCCCAGCCTCCTGGTGCAGCGTGGCTTGGTTTTTCTGTCCACCAGACAGCAGAGATGTGGACCAGGGCGTCACTCAGAGTCCCTCCGCAGAGGTGGTTCCAGGGGACGTTGGTCCTGTTGCCTTCACCCAGTATTAGGTACTTACCTCATTCCTGCAACACACTTTCTGTCAAAAGCCGCTCAAGGGAGGGAGGGGTCGTTCTGGGTTACAGTTCAAGGCTACAGTCCACCGTAGTGAGTGCTCTAGTTTGGCTTCTGTTACTATGATAAACATCATGGCCAAAAGCGTTTATTTCGTCTTATAGGTTGCAGTCTATCATTGAAATAAGCCAAGTCAGGAACTCAGGGAAGAAACTTGAGGCAGAAACCGAGGAGGAACACTGTTCATTGGCTTGCTTCTGGACTCGTGTTCAGCTGTCTTTCTTACATAGCTCAGACCCACCTGCCTAGGGATGGCACTGCCCACAGTGGGCTGGGCCCTCCCACATCAACCATTAAGCAAAAACAGTTCCTCACAGGCGCGTGGCCAGGGTCCATGTGATGGAGGCGATTCTTCCATTGATGCTGCCTTTTCCCAGGTGTGTCAGGTTGACGACCAGGATTAGGTGTCACCGTGGGGAAGGGGCTCCACGCAGCTGGTTACATTGCATTTGCAGTCAAGAAGCGGCGGACGTGGGCTGAGGAAATGACTGAATGGGTCAGAGTGCCCAGCACCCGTACAGAAGTTGGGCGTGGCCGCCCATGTCTCTAACCCCAGCATTGGAGGGTGAGGACTAATGAACCTGGGAGTTCACTGACCAGCCAGCCAAAATGGCGAGCCGCAGGTCAGTGGGGGAGAATAATGTGGTCAGCAACAGAGGAAGTCGCCAGATGTCCTCCTCTGGCCTCTGCACGTGCATGCACGGACATGTGTCCCCCCCCTCCCCCAAATAAGGGAGCCGACAGTGATGGATACTGGCCCTCAGTTCCCTTTCTGCCCTTTGCTTGGTCCATGACTGCAGTTCTCAGAATAGTACCTCCCGCAGTTAAGGTGGGTCTTCCCTCCTCAGGGAACCCAGTGGAGGTGTGCCTAGAGGTGTGACCATATTAACCACCAAGCTTCTCAAGCTGTTCCTCAGGCAATGGGCTTCATCTTGAGGTCTCAAGCTGCTTGTTATCCCTGGGAGGTGGGAGTGGGGGTGGGGGGCCTAGGTCAAGGTCAGCTCTGTTGTACAATAAGAGAGTTTCTGCCTTCGGCACTGGGCAGACAGATCCCAGGTGAGTCGTCTGGGGCCCAATGTGGGTCAGCTGCCCTCTCCGGGCTGCAGTTTCTCATCTGTCAGTGAGAACAGCCTTGTTAGGATGTGATGAGATGGTGATGGAGGCCTTTTCAAAGGACTGAAAGGGCTCATTTGCTAAATGTATGGTAGATACAGGCCAGGGAGAGACAGCCCTGCTGAACATGATTATTCAGCTGCTCTGGGCCAGCCCACTCCCAGCCTCAGGCTCCTTCATGGGGACTCAGGTCACCCCTGGCTCTGTCACAAGCTTGCTGTGTGTGTGCCTTGGACAAGACACTTCCTGCTCTACATCTCTCCCTTCACATGAAAACTGGTTTTTTTTTTTTTTTTTTTTTTGTTTGTTTTTTGAGGTCCACTCAGACTGCGCTCCCTCCCTCTCACTCCCCCAGAGGGAGAGAAGAAGAACGATCATCAATGGCAGGAGGCGGCTGCACAGAAGCAGCACCTAGAGCCGGCTTCACGCTCAGGAGGGAACACTACGTCTCGTCCTCGTGGTCTCGGGTGCTCTACACAGTCAGAGAAACTTCTCTAGTAACGAACTATAGAAATGATCCCTGAAAGTATAGTCTTGAAAACTGGTTTTATGATACACGGGTTCTATTCTCACACTGCCTGACCTACCGTGAGTCAACGTAGGGCCTCTTCTAATGACTCCCAATTCAGTTTCCTCTAGTCTGAGCTAAAAATTCATTAGGGGGTGGTGGAGAGATAGCTCAGCAGTTAAGGGCATACACTGCTCTCGCAGAGAACCTGTCACTCCAGCTCAGGGGATCCAATACCTCTTGTCTCTGAGGGCACCTGCACTCATGTGCACAGACATACATTCATACACATAAACAAAAAAATAATTGGGTAGTTAGGGTCACCCTGGCTTGCCTATACAGATCCCTACCTCCTCATTCTGAGCTGACCTGTAAGCCTCACCTGCTGGACTCACATGTGCGTCAGAGAGACTGGTCAAGACTGGTCCCTGACTTGAATGTGGTGGAATATGGAAGTGTGGAGTTCAGATGCCAGACCTAGGAGTTCAGATCCTAGGCACTCATTTTTGCATTGTCTTGGAACTCTGCCCTGTAAGGAAGCCTGTGTTGCCTACCGGATGATTGAGAGCATCTGGAGGGGACACAGTGCATCCCCCCAACAGTCAGTTACTAGCTGCCAGGCCTGCTAATGAAGCCATCATTTACCCAGCTGATCTGTTGGGTAAATATGATTAATTAGAAGAGGCTGCCTGACTAATCTCTAGTACCTGGAGTGATTATAACATGTCTTTCTTTATAGGAAGTATGGGGATCTTTTGTTACGCACCAAAGGCTTACTGACACATGCGTGTTGTAGGTGTAGACATTGCTTTTTTCTTTGCCCCACACTGTTGAACTCCTTGACAGGTAATGTTTCTGTGTTTACCTTGCTGTATTTATTGTCTAGCAAAGGACTTGTCTTGAAGCTGGTGTTCCAGAATTCCTGGCATTTGGAGGGAAGGAAGTGAGGAAGTATGGATCTGCTCACCTGAGTTCACAAGCCTTTCAGAGGAGTTGGGGTCCAGCTAGGTATTGAGAGGAGTGCCTGCTGCAGAACCAACAAGCCAAGCATGGGCCTCTTGGCCCCACAGTCCACCAGGAGGGACTGTGCATGGTCCCCTAAACACCCCACAATGAGTACAATGGTACCCCTTTTGCATGATTGGCTATGAGGCAAAATATTAAAAAAGACTGAGTGTACTTCACTCTCTATTGACACAATTGTCCTTTGATAAAGGGCGTTTCATATCACAATATAGGCAGCTCCTGATTTACAATAGTTCAACTTAATGGTTTACAGTAGTTCAGCTTAACAATTGTGTGTATGTGTGTGTGTGTGTGTGTGTGTGTGTGTGTGTGTGTGTGTGTCCCGGAATGTGTGTGGTGGTCAGAGGACAATTTGCAGGAGTTAGTTCTTCTCTACCACATGGATCCTAGGAATGGATCTCCAGTAGTCAGGCTTGGAAGCAAACATCCTCATCTGACGGGCTACCTCCCCAGACTTAATATATTAGTGTGCACTCTCTAGCGATGCTGGATGGTGGTCATGTGACCAGAGGACAAGCTACTTATACTCTCTGGGTACTTCGTTGCTATAATGCTAGCTAGGTAGGTTAGGTGGGTTAAAGGCACTTTTGACTTAGGAAAGTTTCAATTTATGATGGGGTCTAACACAGTGGAAATCAGGAGGTCTGGAGCCGAGGCCCTGGTGAATAAAATAGTGACTACTACTTTCTTTTGGAAAAAAAAAAAAAACCTGTGTGTGTGTGTGTGTGTGTGTGTGTGTGTGTGTGTATGTGTGTGTGTGTGTGCATGTGTGCATGTGCATGAATGCTTCAGGTCACATAGTCACATAAAAAAAGAATTAAGGAGGATTAGAACCCATGTCATATGACTTCAAGGCCATGGCTCTTGTAAGTGTTCTAGAAATTCCTAGGCATTT